CTTTGGGGTGTACTAGTTTTTGTCTCAATGTGTTTATCGGTTTAAAATAAACAGGAATATCATGTTGTAGAAATATTCTTTGTATTTTCTCTGAGAGGCCGGCAATGTAAGGACACAGACACCCCTTCTCTTCTTTTCTCTCTGTTGGTTGGTTTCCTCTCTGTTTGTTTTAATTTTAAGAAGAACATGCTACCCTGAGGAACTGAAACATGGCACTGTTTGATTTGACGTGAATTGGTGCTCGGTGGTACAGATCCAAATCGGTCCAAACCAATAAAGTGTACCATCTTTGGTACCCATCCTGAGACGTGATGTTAAATGTCAGCTACACCTCTGTGTGAAAACAGTTATTCGGAGAAAAACACGTTCGCAACTTTAATTTCAAATTGAAACTGAGATTATTTTTTTCCTATCTTACCTCTTGACAGACTTGAACAGTCGGGCATTTGGAACGCAACTCCTGGTCATTGGTGCAACTAATAGGCCAGACTCCCTTGACCCTGCCCTGCGTAGAGCTGGACGCTTTGACAGAGAGATATGTCTTGGTATCCCAGATGAACAGTCTCGTCTAAGGTCAGTGAAATATGATTTTAAGTTCTTGAAGTGATTTTCAAACTGAGACAGATACGATGACATAGTCAACAAGCGTAACCATCATTGGTTAGTCGTCTCCTAATCTGTACTGGAGGCCAAATTTATGTCGTCTGTCATGTAGACTGTGGACCCCTAGTGTGCTAGCACTTTTCTAAGCACGAATGCTACTCCTTCCAATTATTGGACATTGATCATACTGTCATGGACATGCCTCCAATCACTTAAACACCCAATCAGACTGCTCTGTTAAACCCTTCTCAACTGATCATGAAAGGCATGTATTTTTGCTTTTTTGGGGGGAGTTCTATATCAGTGGTCCCCCCGGGCCGTGGACCAGTACTGGTCCATGGGTCATTTGGTACTGCGCCGCGCAGAAAGAATAAAAAACTTAGATTACTTCAGTTTCATTTATTTCAGAATCTGAAAGATGTTTTATTGTGAAAAATTACCGAATTCTCTGTTACATCCGTCTACAACAGGGGTGCCCATTACATCGATCGTGATCGACCAGTAGATCAGGGATTGGTCCCAAATCGATCCGAGGCGTGTGGAGGGAAAAAAAAATGTTAGTAATATATTTTTTGTGTTAATGTACACTGCACCCTAATAATTTTATCAGTCTCACTTTCACAAAAAGTTTTTAAAAAAGAAATTAAAATAAAGCGGATCATCTTTAACCTACGGTGCCGTGTGACTGCGTCACTGGAAGTTGTTAGCGCTCAGCAGTCAGCAGTTCCAGCTTGTGCTCAGAGTTGTTGCGCTAATCTTTTACCGTAATCACTATTCTCATTCAGAGTTTGTTTTGTACAATTCACCGAGGGGGCGGGCAAAGAATGGGATTCTGGAGGGCCGAGAGAAGCATTTTAAAATGGTACGTGAGCTACGATCGTTAACAGGCTGCAAAAGTGATTGCATGCATCAGCGTCAGTCTGTTGCTCATCATGGCATGCGTGTGTACGTGCGTGCGTGCGTATGCGCGCGTGCGCGGTAACGGGTCGATCCAGGGAGGTTGCTTGATCGAAAAGTAGATCTTGGGTCAAAAAGTTTGGGCACCCCTGGTCTACAATATGGCACTTCTCGTCACGTGATAGGTTACCGCTAAAATGAAACTTAGGGGCGGCGCAAAAAAACAAACGTCTTTGGGAGGTTTCTTTAGGAAGGGGAAAAGACAGAAGAGGAGCCTATGACTTCCAAGAAAAAGAAGACTACATTTAATAGACAGTATCAGAAGTGCGACTTAAAATATGGATTTATCTCAACGGGAGATTCCCACTCACCAAGCCCACTCTACATAATATGCGGCGGTGGTGAGTCGTATTTTTCATACACTTTGTATTTGCGCTGCATCTTATTTTGAAGGAACGTTTAAACATTACCATAGCGACCAGAGAGTGTTGCGGCCAGATAGGACGTTCTTCGTGGCATGATTTGTTTATTATTATTATGTTTAGAAAATACCACAATTTTCATGCAGGTCGTATCATTATTTTGTTGTATTTATCCATCACACCTTAAAGGCCGGTCCCTGAAAATATTACCTGACATTAAACCGGTCTGTGGGGCAAAAAAGGTTGGGGACCACTGTTCTATATGATGTATTAACCAAGCTTATTGTCTTAAATTCATTATTTGGCTATAGTAGAGTAGCATTTTTGCATATTTCAGGATTCACAGAGTTTTTGAGGGAAAACCTTTTTTCTCATTTTTATAGTATTGAGTTCTTTGAGCAGTGACTTGTTTAATTAAAGATAACCATGTTAGGAACATATGGCCACCATTGATGCGTTTATTTAATGTGTGAAAGGGACAATTAAAGTAAAACAAATGTGTTTTGTCAGGATTTTAAAGACTTTGTGTCGTAAGCTGAAGATGCCAGAAGATTTTGACTATGGCAAACTGGCTCGCCTTACCCCAGGATACGTGGGTGCGGATCTCATGGCACTCTGCCGCGAAGCTGCCATGAATGCTGTCAACAGGGTTCTGTTGGTGGGAAAAGTACCAGCGAAGAGCAAAACCAGCATCCTCAGCAGTGACTTGCCACTTGGGACTGAAGCTGTGACAAACGACAGTAGTGAGAACACCGGTACAGCATCATCGCCAAGGAACACATCCTCAGAAATAGTGGATGTTAATCAGTTATCTCAGTATAACTTGGGACATGAGCATCTGCCGGTAAGGACTTCCCAAGCATCTCACTTATACACTGGCCATTATCAACTTCCAGAGGAATGTTGCTAACGATTACTGTCAGTATGTCAGTCCGTTTGAGAATAATGATTGAAAGAAATAAGATAAGAAATACTTTGCAGGGTTGTCAAACTCAATCGCACAGGGTGCCAAAACTCAATAGAACACAGAATTAAACATTTATTGGACGGACTAAAACTAAATGCTTTTGAACATAAATATAAATCAAAGCAGACAGCATACAATATTTCTTCCAAACTTGAAAGCATTAACAGCACAAATATATCTAAAATAAATGTCAAGTTCAAAATATGATCAATGCTCCAAAAAAAAAGAAAATATTTAAAATTTGTGGTTCCTTTCAATAAAAGCTCAAGTAAAATCATCGGATTTGTACTTTGACGTATCATTGTTTCACGCTATTAAAAAAAATATAGCAGGGTTAAGAATCAGAGGAAGAGGTCTTCCAAGCATGCTTTGCTGAAGTTACAGTGATCACATTTGATTTGTCCTTCCTTTTATTTTGTGTGCACATTGTTATTACCGTATTTTCCGCACGAAAAGGCGCACTGGATTATGAGGCGCACCTTCAATGAATGGCCATTCTGTAATTTTTTTTCATATATTGCACACACTGGACTATAAGGCGCAATCTACAATGCATCCACTAGATGGAGCCACAGCCCTTCATTTGACTCACAAGCGCACGGTGTTGCATAAGGTGCGAATATTTTTTGACTTATCCACGTATTTTACGAACATATAAAAGAGTCGAAAAGTTAAAATAGTTCACGGAGTACCTTGGCGCAAGGTAGGGCTCTCCCGGGATAAAGGGGTCGACTGAAGGAATGTCAGTGCTTCGAACGGAAGGATTAGACTGAGTCACGTCGTCTCCTTCCATACCCCTCAGGTTGGTTATGCTGGTCCCCACCTCTGCACTCAAGCTGTTTCGAGTGCTCTTAGTGGGACCTGGAAATCGACACAAACAAGTTCATTCCATTCATGTCAGTCGGGACAGATATGATTGAAACTATTTTAAATATCAGGTCATTGTACAGGATTTATATTGTGAAATACCGTATTTTCCGGACTAAAAGGCGCACTGGATTATGAGGCGCACCTTCAAATAATGGCCTGTATTTTAATTTTTTTCATATACTGCACGCACTGGACTATGAGGCACAATCTACAATGCATCCACGAGATAGAGCTACAGGTACGTTTTTGTCCGTCTCCGTGCCTTCTCTTCTTCCGTTTGACTCGAGAGGCGTTCATGACCGCCTCCAAAAAACGTAAATTAACGATTACTTCAATGAAACTACGAAAATCAAAAATACAGTAATGCATCAAAACAGAAAATCAAGTGAGGAAATCACAAAATATCTTCTACAGCCCCCCCAAGAGAATTTATTTTGGCATTTCCTTGGGCATAGCTCCAATGGAAAGATCAGATGTTTGTAAAATGTAGGAGACTGGACTGTCTCAGAAGTGTTTGTTATTATTCCTTTGTTGTGTACTGTATTCACAAACGAGGAAATCACAAAATAAATTCTGTGGCGGGGCTAGAGAATTTATTTTGTGATTTCCTCGCTTGATTTTCTGTTTTGATGCATTATTTTCAATTTTCGTAGTTTCAATGAAGGAATCGTTAATGTACGTTTTTCCGAGGCGGCCATGAACGCCTCTTGAGTCAAAGGAAGAAGAAAAGGCAGGAGACTGACAGATGTAACTGTATTTGTTGAAACTGTGAAAGACATTCATAAAGTGTGCGTTTTAAAAGAATTAACACCACAGCTCCCCTTTTTTCGGAGCTGCAACAAAAATTTATTTAATAAAGCAGTGACACAGTTCACTGAACCAACAGCAAGTTGTAACATTGGAAGCATCTCTCCAGGAAGGAGCCATCTTGGGAGTCGATGTATTACCGTAATGACCATACACAAGACGCACCGGATTTTAAGGCACTCGGTGAGCTTTTAAGAAAATGGAAGACTTTTTGGTGCGCCCTATAGTGCGGAAAATCCGGTATGCACAGACATGGTGTAATAATAATAGTGCTGTCATTTTGAGTTGTGAACAGTTAAATTATTGCTACTTTGAGTGGCTGTTAATTCGGCATCCTGAGTTGCAGTGTTCGTGCCATTCATTACACTCTGGTCACTTGCGCATTTCTCAGCAGTGATTCTGTATTGGTCTGTTTGATGAAGAAAAAGCTGAGCTGAAATGCAAAGCTCTCACTTCTCCACATCTCTACATTCCAACCCTCACGTATGGTCATGACTGAAAGAACAAGATCACGGATACAAATAGCCGAAATTAGTTTTTCCACTGCAGGGAGTCCGGGCTCTCTCCTAGTGAAAGGATGACAAGCTCAGTTATCCAGGATGGAACTCAAGAGTCGAGCCGCTGCCCCTCGAGAGATGCCCAAGCCAGATGACATGGCTTGGGCATCCAGTTAGGATGTCTCCTGGCTGTTCCCCCCTCGTGAGGTATTCCGGGCATGTTGCATCAGGAGGACGCCACCGGGGACTACCCAGGACTAGCTAGATAGACGATCTCCCAGTAGGCATGGGACTGCCTTGGGATTCTCCCGGAAGAGCTATCTTCAGTGGCTGAAGGGAGGAAATTCTGGTCTTCCCTGCTACCGCCACCACCTGATATATGGAAGAGAATGGATGGAGGGATGGATGGATGGATGGAAGGATGAAATGAAGGAAGGAAGGAAGAATATTTTGGCATTGCTTGTTATATAACATATTTACAATACAATACATCTTTATTTATGCACAGTATGCTTGTGCATTTTCAGACGGTTCAAGAGTTTCATTCTGCATACAGTGGCACAAGACTTTTTTTTCCCCATTTAGCTCTAAGTTTGGGCAGTGTAGAATCTCAATACCCTCTCAATTTATGGACTCTCTCTTACCAGTAATGTTGTTTTATATTATTTGTTTTGTTTGTTTGTTTGTTTATTTATTGAACATATATAAAACATACAATAACATGACAAAGTGCAAACAAAAATTATGAAAGGAAAATAAAAGTAAAAGTAAGTAATACAAACATCATCACAGTTATATGTTCAAAGGAGTTGGAAGAAGTATAAAACTTATCTAGTCCTACCCCTTTTTGAGCAATAATGTATATTGATCATTTCCAAAGAAAAGGAAGAAATCTAAATTTCATCAAATACTTTTACCCTTTTGTGTACTATGCTTATCTATTGATACACCTTTCGGTTTGTTTATATGTATCATTATTCTTTCTACTTTTTATATCAAATAACTCATATTCATTATATATACCACATTTCTTGAATACATTCAATAAATTGTTCAAAATCCAGAACAAGAACAAACCATAGTATTACTATATTTTATAAGTACCAGTATGTAAAATTTATCTTCTTAACTTTGTTTTATGTAGTTTTTTTGTACTAATGTTTTGAATTTGTTTTTGAACTCGTCCAAAGATTTACTCATTTTCAGATCCATCTCAAGCTTATTCCACAGATTAACTCCTATTACTGATACACACTATTAGTATTAATAATATTAATATTAGCATTAATATTGATATTAATGTATAAAATTCTGTATTGCATTTATATTAATATTAGAGAGAAATGTAAATTGATTAGTCATAACTTTTTCAATGCTTTAACTTGGACAAGTGTTGTTTTTAACAAGATCATTGGATTTTAGCAGCTTTGACTGCATAAACAGTTGTGAATGTGTGGGAACTTCAGCCTTGTGAATGATCCGAAGTGCTTGTTACTGTAATGTCAATGATTTACTGTGCACTGGCTTCACCACAATACTTCAAGGGTAAAATTGTCAGGGTGAAGTCAAAAGCATGGAATGCATTTTCATTAAGGTATTGTTTCATTTTGTTTGTAACTTGAGAGATTTTTAGAGATCCCTGATGTAAGCCTTCCATGAAGAGTTACATTTCCTCACATTGGGGTGGTTTGTGATTTGTTTCTACCAGGGTGATCTATGGCACCTGCTGCAATTGCTGAAGAACACTAATACTCTACCAGAGCATGAGCTGACCAGCCTCTCTCTCATCATGTCAGACTTTGAGACATCTCTTTCCAACGTGCAGCCTTCAGCCAAGAGGGAGGGCTTTGCCACTGTGCCTGATGTCACATGGGATGATGTCGGAGCGCTTCATGAAATAAGGGAAGAACTTACAATGGCCATCTTGGTAAAGTAGTTTTCAATTTTCTTGAAAGTATTTCACTGATTTAATGCTTTTTTTTTTTAAACTTAGGGATACCATTAGTAACCTGTGCTTACTCATCCAAATATCCATTGATTTTTATATTCCACCTTGCTTCACAGTTGCTTTATCCCTTTTTGTACAAACTCTTAGTGTATGATGTTATGGCCTGTCAGTTCTCTGTAAATGACACAGTGCAAGGTCAATGTTCTAAGACAGGGGTGCCCACATTTTTTTCAACATGCCAAATTAACTACCTTATGTATGCACGTATTGATGTATGCATGTGTTTATTTATATCAGTATGGATGTATCTAAAAATATATACTACTCCAAAAAAATAAAGAGAACACTAAAATACTACATCCTGCATATCAAATGTTCCATCTGAGAATCTTTATGAAGCACACAGTGCAATGTCTTCAACAAAATAACATGAAAATGATCAACATAAAATTAAATGACCAACCCAAAGGGGTCTGTTTTTTTAATCATACTCACAATAGAAGTGGAAACTCAGAATACAGCCTGATCCAGTTTTAGTGGAAATTCCTCAGGACAAGTCAAAATGGGGCTCAGCCTTGTGTTTGGCCTCCTGGTGCCTATGTGAACCTGGGCATGCTCCTGATGAGACTGCAACGTCTCTGCTCAGGGAGCTGATGCTTTATTCCAGGTCTGGACCTGAAATAAAGCATCAGTTAACTCCTGCGCAGTCTTTGGTGCAACGTGGCTTTGATGTACAGTATGGAACGAGACATGATTCAGGTCCGAGAACAGTCATGCCAGTTTATAGCACCAACCCGTTTATCATGGAGGAACTTCGATACACTTCAGCCACATGAAGCTTTGTCCTGCATTAGAAGGAACCCAAGGTCCACTTCACGTGGTCTCACAACAGACCCGAGTATCTCATACCAGTATTTAACGGTAGTGAAGGTACCTCTGGCTTACACAAGGATAGCTGTGCGGTGTTCTAAAAAATACCTCCCTAAATCATTACAACCATGATGTTGCAGGCAGGATAATGTTCTCCTCAGCGTATCCAGACTCTGTCACGTCAGTCACCCGTGCACAGTGTGAACCTGCTCTCATCTGTGAAGAGCACAGGGCAGCAGTGGCGAAATTACCAATTTTTATGTTCTCTTGCAAATGCTGGTCTTCGTTTCCTGTCAAATGACAGTCTTGCTGCACAGTGTCGGCTGTACAGGCTATAAGCACAGTCCCCACTTGAGGCCATTGGCTCCTCATAGACCAGTTTCATGTGACGTGTGTTTTCTGCCTCCAAGATGCGTGCACAGCCAGACTTAATGTATGCATACGTATGCATACATTAAGTCTGGCTGCACACGAGTCATAATACAGTGAAACTCCTCTAAAACGATACCTACATGTGTGAAAATACCCCCTAGTGTGAATAAATCTTCATGCATTAAGCCATTCCTTCTTTTCTGCTTCCCCCGACAATGAATATTCCCCCTGTTGCGTAATACTAAATCTTTTTCTCCACCCTTGCCTCGCAATGACGTTCACGACATTGAAAACAAGCCTTCCGCAAAGTCTAATGCAACCTCAGCATGCCACAGCTACCTCTGCTGCTTCGTTTGGAAATGGCACCAGCAACCACCACTGGTTTACACATGCGCTGAGGACTGAGGAGGCAATTAAGAATGCTCGTCTTTGTAAACAACAGTGACGTCATTAAGATGCGCGCGCATCTTGGAGTCATTGTTTGCCAACATTAGCCCTGTTCACACGGCACACATTTGGTCCAACGCTGCACCGAAATATATCGCAACAAAATATTTTGGTGCAGCGTCGGACCAAATGTGTGCCCTGTTCACACGGCACACATTTGGTCCAACGCTGCACCGAAATATATCGCAACAAAATATTTTGGTGCAGCGTCGGACCAAATGTGTGCCGTGTGAACAGGGCTAATGTTGGCAAACAATGACTCCAAGATGCGCGCGCATCTTGGAGTCATTGTTTGCCAACATTAGCCCTGTTCACACGGCACACATTTGGTCCGACGCTGCGCCGAAGCAAAGCCAGTCGAGCATTCACACGTGCACATTTGCTCCGACGTAGCTCCACTAAAGAGCTTATACCGGACCAAATTTGATCCACCTCAGGGAGGTGGTTTAAAAATTTGCTCCAGAGCAAATGCTCGTTTGCGACGCTACGCCGGAACAAATGTGCACGTGTGAACGCTCGACTGGCTTTGCTTCGGCGCAGCGTCGGACCAAATGTGTGCCGTGTGAACAGGGCTAATGTTGGCAAACAATGACTCCAAGATGCGCGCGCATCTTGGAGTCATTGTTTGCCAACATTAGCCCTGTTCACACGGCACACATTTGGTCCGACGCTGCGCCGAAGCAAAGCCAGTCGAGCATTCACACGTGCACATTTGCTCCGACGTAGCTCCACTAAAGAGCTTATACCGGACCAAATTTGATCCACCTCAGGGAGGTGGTTTAAAAATTTGCTCCAGAGCAAATGCTCGTTTGCGACGCTACGCCGGAACAAATGTGCACGTGTGAACGCTCGACTGGCTTTGCTTCGGCGCAGCGTCGGACCAAATGTGTGCCGTGTGAACAGGGCTAATGTTGGCAAACAATGACTCCAAGATGCGCGCGCATCTTGGAGTCATTGTTTGCCAACATTAGCCCTGTTCACACGGCACACATTTGGTCCGACGCTGCGCCGAAGCAAAGCCAGTCGAGCATTCACACGTGCACATTTGCTCCGACGTAGCTCCACTAAAGAGCTTATACCGGACCAAATTTGATCCACCTCAGGGAGGTGGTTTAAAAATTTGCTCCAGAGCAAATGCTCGTTTGCGACGCTACGCCGGAACAAATGTGCACGTGTGAACGCTCGACTGGCTTTGCTTCGGCGCAGCGTCGGACCCAACGTTGCCGTGTGAACGGGGCTATTGAAACTGGTCTATACACTCCCCTCATGGCGTCTGTTTCTGACTCCTTGCACAAAGGAGGAAGTAGCGGTCCTACTATTGGGTTGTTATCCCCCACATCTCCTGGTGTGCTGGCCTCTCTCCTTGTATCACCTCCATGGTCTGAACACTGCTAGGAGACATAGGAACCCCTCTTGCCACAGCTTGCATGGATTTGTCATCTTGGATGAGCAGTACTGCCTGAATGAATTTGGCAGGTCATAGACACGGCCTCATAGTACTTCCAGGGGTGGGATATTAACAAATTACAAATGTGACCAAAACATCAGCCAGAAAGGATGAGAGCACCACCTCCATAACCACTCCTTGATAAGTGTTGTCTGGGTAAATGCTTCTACAGTTTCCACCAGTTGCCTGTTCCATTTGCACAACAGCCGATCAAATGGATTCACAATCAGCATTGCTTCCTAACTGGGCATGCTGATTTCACAGAACAGTGATGAATATGGAGTTTCATTGTGTTGCTTTGGTATTCCCTTTATTTTTTTGAGCAGTGTACATATAATTTTTGTGTACAATATATACTGTTGTACCTCTCATAATTGCATGAACCCATATTGCACAATACAACTAGTGTACAATTTTTGCTCTTACTTTATGTTGACGATGTAGGCTGAATTGAATCAGCCAGAGATTGACTCCGGACAGGAGCTGCTGATAGTGAGCCGTATGCATGCTTCCTAATGAAAATCAGTCATGTTGGAACGGTACTTGGGCTCAACCCCAATACCCACACTACACACTACGGTCCTTATTCAAATGTACACAGAAGTGTACACAGTGTTTGAGAGCGCAGGTTACAAGCGTTTGAAAATTCTGTTAGGTCATCGACTTGCGCCATCAAACATGGCAGCACCGGTTGGTGTTTTGGCAATTTTGCTGCTGAAAAGTATTTTAAAAATGCAGTATGGTAGTAGTAAAGTAAAAACTTGGGCTCAGACTTCCAGTCAATGGAAACCATTGCATCACTATTTACGCTGTCTGCGGTGCATGCACAGAAGGTCACTCAGTATGGCAACTACCGTATTTTCACGACCATACAGCGCACCGTATTAAAAGGCGTAATGTCAGTTGTGGGTGCTGTTTCTGTGTTTAACACATGCACAAGAGTATTATTGGACACAGGCATGGTAACTCATACAGTCACTTAAATCAGGCATGTCCAGCTCCGGGCCTGGAGGGCCACTTTCCTGCCTGTTTTCCAGCTCTCCCGGCTGCAACACACCTGATTCAGATGATCAGCTCATCAGCCAGCTCTGAAGCAGCATTAGAACAGTCCTGATGATTTGATTCAGGTGCGTTGCTCCTTGGAGAGCTAGAAAACAGGCCAGAGAGCGGCCCTTGAGGACCGACTTTGGACACCCCTGACTTAAATAATACGGTAGCATACATGCACGCTAGCGTATGTTTTTAAAAAGTCAGCGGGAGCAAAACTGAATTTGTTTGTAATTTATTGAAGTATTTAACAATGTACTCATGTTTTTTTTTTTTTTTTTTTAATCAATCCTCATGATCAAATCCATCAAAGTCCTCATCTTTGTTCGAAATGAACAGCTGGGTAAGTTCAAAATCAAACACGCCAGGTTCCCTCGCGTCATTGTCAGAAATGCGTTTGTGTAAGCTCGAACAACAGTGCAGACAGACATGTAAACCCAAGCATCGACAATCCATTCACAAAGTGTGGTGTAACTCACTCAGCGCTCCCTTCCAGTCTTAGGAAAGCTGTTTGCCATCGCTCCTACACTGCTCGCAATTTAACTTTGACTATTTCTGTCCATTATCACGGCAACCAAGCACTAAAATAAAAGTCAACTTCACACGCCCCCGTTGTGCGTATCGCTACTATGCCAGTCCCCTTCTTCTCTATAGTGTGGTTCACCGGGATGTCGAAAGTGAGCGGTCCCTCATCCATGTGGGTGATGTCACACTCACACCTTGGGACAATTTTTTTGATTGTTCAATCAGCCTGCAATGCATGTTTTTGGAATGTGGGAGGAAACGCGAGTACCCGGAGAAAACCTACGCAGGCATGGGGAGAACATGCAAACTCCACACAGGGAAGCCGGAGCTAGAATTGAACCCGGTACCTCTACATTATGAGGTCGACGCGTTAGCCACTGGATCACCGGGCCGCCCCAGGCGGAATATCACTGTTTTTTTTTTTTTTTAATTTGGGAAGTCTCCAAATAATTACAAAATAAAAATAAAATAGAACATCAGGTCCATAAAAAGTGTGAAGGTTAACATTTCAATAACAGTAAGAACACTTTTCTGAGCAATACAAGTACTGAACACTGAACTACTGAACTTGCTTCAGATAATAAAAAATTAATAAAACAGACCCTTAAATCACAGTGCTGTAAGTTAGCACTTCAGAAATAACACTGTTCATCATTCCAAAATAAAGTCCTGAAATAAACATCATTCACTTCTAGTAGGCTACAGAGGACACAGCGGCTATGCTGACTTCATGCCACGTACTCCTCAAGTTTAGTTTGGCAAAGAGTTTTGCTATGGCTCGCTATATTGCTAACGTTAGCTGTGGTAGCACTCCTGACTGAGTGCTTTGCATTGATGTGAGCTGCTTCGGTGAGAAACAAACTCTTTTTAACAAATTAGGCACAACACTCTGCCTTTAGTGCCGTTATTTGGAATGTGAATTTTCCATTCATTGGACCGAGAACTGTCACATGCTCCTCCATTTTCACCTCTCCTCTCCTTACCGCTGCTTACCCGGCCCTCCCAACTTCAATGGGAGCCTATCAGCTTATGCTAAACAAGCCCAAACATAATGACAGCCAATCAATGTCCGCTTCAGGCTGTGACTGACATTTGTTTCCCCACCCTCGAACACAGGAAGGCAACGCATGAAAAGGGATATTATAAAAAGGCAACCCAATTAAAATTTATATTAACGCGATTAAAAAAAACATAACGCGCTAAATATGACTGTAATTATTTACTGGCAATTAACACGATAATTTGACACCTCTACGCAGAACATTACACTTTTTACTGCAGTAGGAGTGGAAGTTGGCCACCTTTTCCTTGTAATCCGACGGATGTTGCTGTGCCACGGTCGTCCATTTCCGGAGGGATAGACGGTGCCGTTTCATAAAACAAAAGCACCAAGCACCATGAATTAGTTGATCTTAAATTCTCTCACGGCTGTGTGATTCCCCTGGTCTTCTGTGTAACTGACAGCTTTCAGTTTAAACCGTGCTTTGTTTGCGTGTGTCTTTGTAGGTGCCATTTTCACTCTGTTGTTTTGCACGATCCACCGACACCTACTGGGGGTGTGTCTTTAGCATCTTCTTTCACACCTACCCTTCCCACTTTAACATCCGTATGCTGTCCTCACTTAGGTCCGGGCCTAGGATTTCAAGGTACAGTATGTAGAATTTAGTGCCATTTAGTGGTGAATTTATGCAACAACCTAAACTCGAAGCGCGTGTGTTTTGAAGCATCCGTAATACTGTGCCTCAGAGATACCGCACTTCATGAGCCTACCAACAATTTATTCATCAGAGGTGCAAGCAAAATGTTGTCCCAAATGATTCCTAGTATTGCCTCAAGTGCTTGGCATTTTTTACAAATGCTGTCGTCACCATGTTGACAAACTACCTTCGCTAAGTTTGTCTCCTTTGGATATCCGTAGCAGAACGATGGTGACGAAACACGTCAGCCTCCTCCTGTCAGGGAGTCATAGCCTATGAAATATAATTACTTTATCTGTTACTTTAAAAAATACACTGACGTGACAGGACATCTTATTTTTATATTTATAATTATTGTTGAAATTAGTGGGTTTTTTAAATAATCCACGTTGAAAAATCAACAAATTGTTACACACTGTCCCTTTCATGTTTTATTAATGTCCTGAAAATGCGCTTCCATATTTCTCATCTTTGGCCAGTCACAAAGAGCCCCAAGGGCTCGACCAGCATGACACACCACTCAGCCAGTCATTTCAGTCACCACCACCACCCCAAACCAGTAGCCACGACACACCACTGGAGGACCCCGGCCTCACACCGGCGTTTAGGTGTATGGCTGCCCCATCCAGTGGTTCCCTCTCCAGCGCCAGTGAAACCGAAAGCGCGTGCCCAAGTGCATTGCCCGCTTCACCCTGCCACTGAGCCCACTGCAAAAAAAAAAAAATCCTCTTCTCACACTGCATGGAAATATTTTGCTTTCTTGGTCCCCTAATCATTTTCATACTTTGTTATTAAGTTTAGAGTAGACAAAAAAAAATAGAAACTGCTAGTTAGCTTGTTTTGTCACATCGTGCCTTTGTAAGTGCCTTGGCGGTGAAGCATGCGACAGCTGTGTGACTGGCGTCCCTGTACATCAATCAAGTGAAAGATTTCACAACGGATGATAGGGGGAGTCTACCTTTTATTTTATTTTTTTAACTCATTCTCTGCCGTCGACAGGAAGCAACAGTATACTATATCAATACCATAAATCTGGAAGGGCTGGTAGTGACTGAGTTATTGCCATGCGAGCTACCGACACTTAATTTGCGATTGACCGGTTGCTCACGATCGACATAATGGGCACCCCTGTTCTAAACGTTAACATTTATTTTCATCACAATTGTAAATGAAATATAACATCCATGTGTCATGCAGGCTCCAGTACGTTCTCCTGAGCAGTTCAGGGCTCTTGGATTGAGTGCTCCATCCGGAGTGCTGCTGGCCGGTCCTCCAGGCTGTGGAAAAACCCTTCTTGCAAAGGTTCTCCAAGACACTAACATGTCAGAAATGTTAACCTCCCAGGCATGCTGTCCTCAATTCATTTTTGAAAGTAAAAATATTTTCTGGTGATGAGCAATTGAAATGTGTAATACCAGTGTTCACCACACGATGGCAGACATCGCTCACCAGCGCTTCCAACCCTGCATCAGAAAAGCAGGGTTGTCAGGGCCTCTCTGTAGGGTATTATGCCAAGCAACCAGCAAATACAGTGCTCTTATATCAACCACAGACAGAGCCCAATGATGCACCTTGGTTTCGGGCATAAGTCTCCCCATCCTCACTATATAAAAAAACTTTAACACCTTTTCAGCATCAGCCACAATTGCCCTGGGCATTTAGCTACCTACACCACGAAAATACATTTTCCATTCATCATTTTGGACAGTGTATAGTGCAGAGCTGCCTAAAAGTGCCTCGTTGTTAGCTGTGAGCGCACACGTCACGCAGAGAAAGCAGGAAGCGCAAGGAGGGAGGAAAAAAAATTAATAAAAGTCAAGACTTGACAGCAAGCGTATTGGTAGGGGGTTCGCGCTGGCATGGCCACTTTAGATAGCCACGTTGCGGCGTGTAAAGGCCCCACGGCTTTGTACAAGTGACTTTTACATTGCCTGTTGTTTGAAAGTCTTACTGTAATCTGTTGTTACAGGCGGTGGCCAATGAGTCAGGTCTCAACTTCATATCTGTCAAAGGCCCAGAGCTTCTCAACATGGTGAGTTACACAGCATCGGAATATGCTGGTGTTGTAGAACAGGGTTCCAAATTGCCTTTTTAACTAGAAGCACAGTGGCCCCTGCCGTGAAGTATTAGGGGGGTGTGTACTGTAAATTCACTTGGAAATTGAATATTTACTCCACGCATTTTCACTCTTCCTGATAACATCTTAACAATTGAATTGACATTGCAGTTTCAGTACTTTTGGATGAGAGTGGACATGTTAGTTTGAGTGATTATGTTATTAATTTGATTATTTATATTTGATAATTAATGTGTTTAATGAAAAATGTTAACTGTTTTGAAAAGCGCTTTGTTTCAGCTGCAGTTTTTGTGAAAGTGTTATATAAAGCAGGATGTATTGTATTGTAATAAAAAGTGCGGTCCGTGTTTACGTACCATGTTTCATGAAACATGAAGTTGGGTATGTACAAGTAGTAAAGCCACAGATTTTTTTGCATTATTGTTTTAATCTGCTCTTTTTGTGGAATTTCTTACTAATTTATGTAAGTGCAAATCAATATACTCTATAAGGGAACTTTTCCCATCAATGTATTTCCAATTGAGATCAAGTCTTACTTTTTTTTTCATCCTTTAGGTATTAGCTATTATCCTGTATAGTTTTGTTTCATTCCTTCTTGTTTGCTTGATTTTCATACAAAATGGCTGACGTGAAAAATTTCTCAAGGTTTGAACAGAGATCAGTGGCAAAGCTTTTGACTAACTGTATGCCTCAAAGTTTGCAGGCATTGTTTAAAAGGCTTTTTGCCTCATCTGACAAAATAAGTGCACTTTGTGCCATGTTTAACTCCTCTGATGGAATTTAGAGCTCATCAAACCAATTTTAATATCACACAAAAAGAACACAAAGGCTCGTCTCACATTGACCAAAAGACATCTTGAAGATCCTCAGAAGACTTTTCGAAAAACATTCTGTTGACTGTTGAGTCAAAAATGTGAACTTTTTGGAAGATGTATGGCCCATTACATCTGGTATAAAAAAATTATAATTTTTTTAATGTATTTTATTTCATTGGGTCAGTGCACATTAATCAACAAAAGAATAATCAGTGTAAATGTGACGGACTTATAATAAATACTAGTTGCCAGCCATAGTTTCAAAGCAGGTTTCTAAAATAGCACAGTGAAACTTAAAACCACGATGACAGAAATAAGAACCAAATAGGTTAAGACATCTTAAAACAGACAATACAAACAGTTGCAGCACTCAATTACAAGACAATAGACCAGGACAGACAAATTAAAATGACACAGGATTTGATAAGAAGAACATTATGCCAACAGTGAAGCATGGTGGTGGCAGTGTGATGGTGTGGGGCTGCTTTTCTGCCTCAGAACCAGACAACTTGCATTAGGCCATTCATTTTTCGCAACTCCCAGCATAGACTAAAATAACATTTGACACTGCCCATTGTACTATGGTACCTACCTTCTACACGGAGTGGCAATTAAGAAGAATAAATGTTTATTCTCATCTCTCATTTTCTTGTTTTCAATCAGTCAATCATCGTTGGACAGGGCCACCAGCCATGCCAGTTTTGCTTTATTGCCAAGCTGTTGTTTTCCAACTATACAGTACATGTGAAAATGAATATAGATTCACATATTTTTCCCTGCACTGACGAATTGGGTTCACGCCCAATAAAAGAATCAAAGCAGCCCTTACCTCCATTGATATTTTGATACCTGGCCCGAAATGAATATACAATGATTGGCTAGATGGAAAAACAGAGCAATTTGGTAACCCAGTTCAGATTAGCAGCAGGCACAGTGTGTGTTAACATTGTCTTTTGTGGACATGTTGCGCCGATTACTGTAGATGAGAGCACATGCATGCTTGGTACAAGTCGGTCTCGCCTTCTTCGGGTCGAAATTGAGTCATCATAACACGCAGAGATGAAAGTCCTCCGGATTTTCCCGGAATTCCGGGTTTTTCAAATTTTTGTGAAAATTTCTCCGGAGAATTGAGGAAAATTTGCTTAAAATTAATCCGGATATTAGTTGACAACATTGAATGAAGACGCGTTTGAGTTCGTTGTATTGCTTTCACGAGCGCAGCCATATTGAGGCACTAACACTAGTAACAGTAAAGAGATTTTTGTTTGTGTAATAACGACAGAAGACATGATATCGTTTGACTAATGGTTTAGTACAGGGGTGTCAAACTCATTTCACATGGTGGGCCACATACGGCCTCGGTAGATGTCAAGTGGGCCGGACCATTAAAATGATACAATACTTTGCTATAAATAACCAAAACAATATGTCTTTCCTTTGTTTTGGTATAAAGAAGCACAAGAACATTAGGAAAATGTTGAAATTTAATGAACATATCTTTTACAAAACATTTCAGGGAGCACCTTACATTTCCTTCGACAAATGTGCAATTTACTTTTATCATTCACATATATGCATTGCAACTGATCCCACTGATTGTACAAACTTTAACAAGTAATTGGTATTGAAAAATACAGTAATGCACTTTAAGATTAAACAAGATTCATAAAGAAAGCAAGTTTTAAAGCATTTACACGTGCATATAAAATCTAAATGTAATCCCTGCCTACACCTTACAAACTAAGGAGAGTGCTATTAAATGTGTAAATGTGAGAGTGCTATTGATAGC